AATGACATTCTAGTAATGAAACAGATGAAAGTAAGCCATCTGCTCCTTCACCCTTGGGAGATGCCGTTTCAGTAAATAGACTATATTGCAAAACTTTCTCCTTAAAAAAGAAAACCTGGACTTGTAATCACAACTTAATGTCCTTCCTATTTGTGGCTACTCCCAGTGTCATACCCACAGTAACGTTTTCTTAAGCTAATGCTTCTACCACAAAGCACACTTCGGACCACGTCCTCTGCAATAATTAATGCGGCATAAAGCTAGGGAGGAGAAAAACCCTCAAACGCATTTGGAAGCCAAAAACATATGCCGGGACAGTGTGAGGGAGCTGCTGCTTTGAACTGACGGTTCTGTAGCCCCATCTCAGCCGTTCACCGTGTTCTGCTGCACACATGTGGCTGCTCCTTTCCAAAGCTGCCCTCAAAACGATATCCTGTGTATATCACATTTTTATTCTCATTAAGAAAACTAAGTTTGTGTTGGCCAAAATAATCTCAAAAGGTTAGCATTCACTGAGTAAGCCAAATACACTTTCAGAAAGACAATGCATTTTTAAAAATTGAAGAAATACACAATTATTTTAGACAAAACTTGATGTCTTCAGATTAAACTGCATATTTATTTTGTAAACATGTTTTGCAGCCTGCATGTTGGCTTGTTTTTATTTTTACTTTTTTAGAGACGGGGTCTCTATGTTACCCAGGCAGGGGCTGTTCTCAGGTCTGATCATGTCTCACTGTAAACACCTGGACTCAAGCAATTCTCTCCCCTTCGCCTCCTGAATAGTTGTCACTACAGGTACATGCCACCACACCCAGCCATATTTGCTTTTTTATTCCTTTTCTGAGTTGCAAATAATTCCTTTATTCACATTCTGTCTCCCCAAATAAATGACAAACTTCCTGAAAGCAGAGACTGCTCTTGATTATACTAACACATACTATAGTGCAGTAAATGTTGAATCAAACTGGTTTTGATTATTAATAGAAACCTATAGGCAGTTTCATGCTTTAAAACATAACGCTGGCCGGGCTGGTGGCTCAGGCCTGCAATTCCAGCACTTTGGAAGGCTGAGGCAAGAGGACTGCCTGAGCCCAGGGCTTCGAGACCAGCCCAGGCAACTTGGTGAGACCTCGTCTCTACAATTAAAAAAAAAAATAGCTGGGCATGGTAGCGCACACCTGTAGTTCCGGCTACTTGGAAGACTGAGGAGGAAGGATCCCGGAGTCCAGTAGGTCAACGCTGGGGTGACCGTGAGCATGCCACTGCACTCCAGTCTGGGCGACAGAATGAAACTCCAACTCGAAAAAAAAGAAAGAAAGAAAAGAAAAATGATAAAAAAATAAAAGAAACAGTAAAAAAAAAAAATTCTACTTCCCTAACACTAGTATGCATACACACACAACCATCACCATAAACAACAAAAATGACAACTTGAAATGTCACTAGACAGTTGGTTGGCTCAAATGTTTCTCAGCTAATGTGTCCAAGTTGAACCAAGACAACAATTTAGAGATATCAATGTACTATGTGTAATGGGGAAGAATGGCATTTAATATACAAAAGCTGAGACTCACCTGTGTTTGGAATCATAGAATTTTAGAACCTTGGAAATATATATATATTACATAACATATATGACTATATGTATATTTTTGAGTGTATATCTGTCTTCTCTACTAAACTCAGCTGAGGCCATGACCCAAGTTAAGTCCATCTTTATGCCCCTCATACTTGGCATGCTTAACAACATACTGGGGACTTGTGAATTAATCTAATTATTCAATATCTCTTGGATAATTAGCCCAGAAACTTATTCATAAAAACTTATAGGCACTGGGCTCGGTGGCTCAGTCTGTAATCCCAGCACTTTGGGAGGCCGAGGTGAGTGGATTGCCTGAGCCCACGGGCTCAAGACCTGCCTGGGCAACTTGACGAGACCTCATCTCTACAATAAATTAAAAAAAAAAAAATTAGCTGGGTGTGGTAGCGGGCGCCTGTAGTTCCAGCTACTTGGAAGGCTGAGGTGGCAGGATCGCTGGAGCCCAGCAGGTCGAGGCTGTGGTGACCGGGAGTGGCCACTGCACTCCAGTCTGAGTGACAGGGTGAGATTCCAACTCAAAAAAAAAAAAAACTTATAGGCAAATGAAACACAGATGCCTAGTCTTGGACACTGGTCCCTTCATCTACCACTTGTTATAACTACAAACTTGCTAGTAGTTGCCTTAGACCCTGAATAACCAAAGAAATCTTGAGGAAAAAGAATATATCTGGAAACTTCATACTACCTTATCTCAAAATATACTACAAAGTTATAGTAATCAAAACAGCATGGCACTGGCATAAAACAAAACATACAGGCTAATGGGTCAGAATGAAGATCCCAGAAATAGAAATAAATCTTCACATATATGTCCAAATGATTTTCAACAAAGGTGCAAAGAAAACAGTGAGGAAGGGGCAGTCTCTTCAATAAACGGTGTTGGGAAAACTAAATATTCACATGCAAAAGAGTGAAATTGGACCCTTATCTCACACCACATACAAAAATTGACTAAAAATGAATTAAAGACTTAAATGTAAGACCAGAAACTAAACTACTAGAAGAAAACATGAGGAAAAAGCTCAAATATTAGTCTTGACAAAGACTTTTTAAGATTTTAATATAACCACAAAAGCACAAGCAACAAAAGCAAAAATAGACAAATAGGATTGCATCAAACTAAAGACCTTTGGCAAGCAAAGGAAGCAATCAGAGTGAAGAGACATTCTATGGAATTGTAGAAAATATTTGCAAACCATATAGCTGATAAGAGCTTAATCTCCAAAATATATAAGGAGCTCAGGACAACTCAGTAGCAAGAAAACAAATAACCTGAATAATAAATGGGCAATGGACCTGAACAGGTATTTCTTAAAAGACATGAGTGGCCAACAGGTATGTGAAAAAATGTTCAACACTACTAATCATCAGGGAAACGAAAATTAAAACCACAAAGTCACCTCACACCTTTTAGTCATCAAAACAGCATGATACCGGCATTTAAAACCATGCACAGATCAATGGAGCAGCTGGGCCTGGTGTCTCACGCCTGTAATCCAGCACTTTAAGAGGCCAAGGTGGAAGAATTGCTTGAGCCCAGGAATTCAAGACCAGTTTAGGCCGCATACCAAGACCTCGTCTCTGCAAAAATAATAATAATAATTGGCCAGGTGTGGTGATATACTTCTGTGTTCCCAGCTACAGGAGACTGGGGTGGGAACCCAGGAGGTTGAGGCTGCAGTGAGCTGTGCTCATGCCACTGGCACTACCGCTTGGGCAACAGAGTGAGACCCCAACTCAAAAAAAATGTCTATTATCAAAATGCCAAAAGATAAAAAGGATGTGGAGAAAAGGGAACGTTTGTATACTGTTGGTGGGAATATAAGTGGGTTATAGCCATTACAGAAAACAGTATGGGGGTTCCTCAAAAATTTAAAATAGAACCATCATATAACCCAGCAATCCCACTTGTGAATATGCATCCAAAAGAAATGAAATCAGTATGTCAAAGAGTTATCTGCACTCCAGTATTTGTTGCAACATTATTCCCAACAGCCAAGATATATAGAATTAGCTGGGCTCAGTGGCTCAGCCTGTAATCCCGCGCTTTGGGAGACTGAGGTGAGTGGATTGCCTGAGCCTGTGGGTTCAAGACCCGCCTGGACAATTTGGCGAGACCTCATCTCTTCAATAAATTTAAAAAAAAAAAAGCCGGTTTCGGTGGCTCAGCCTGTGATCCCATGCCTTTGGGAGGCTGAGGTGAGTGGATGGCCTGAGCCCACGGGTTCGAGACCCACCTGGGCAACTTGGCGAGACCTCATCTCTACAATAAATCAAAAAATCAGCCGGGCGTGGTAGCGCGTGCCTGTAATTCCCGCTACTCGGAAGGCGGAGGCGGAAGGATCGCCGGAGCCCAGCAGGTCGAGGCTTCGGTGGCCGGGAGCGGCCACTGCACTCCGGTCTGGGCGACAGAGTGAGACTCCCACTCAAAAACAAATAAATAAATACATAAATAAGACATATAGGATCAACCTGTGTCTATCAACAGATGGATGGATAAAGAAAATGCAGTGTATATTTCCACAGACACGCATATGCATGGAATAATATTCGGCCCTTAAAAAGAAGGAAGTGCTGTGATTTGTGACTACATAGATGAACCTAGAGGATGCCATGCTGGACGAAATAAGTCAGGCGCAGAACAAGAAATCCTGCGTCGTCTCACTCGCATGTGGATTCTAAAAACAGTCAAACTCAGAGAAGCAGAAAGTAGAGGGGTGGGCACCAGGGGCTGGATGGGGCAGGGCGGGAGGAATGGGAGGTGTTGGCCAAAGAGGACAAAGTTTCAGACGGATGGATGGATGGACAAAATCTGGAGAGCCTTTGCCCAGCACGGTGATTACAGTTAACAATAATGTATAATGTATCTGAAAATTACTCAGAAAATAAGTCTTAAATGTTCTCACCACAAAAAAGTGAGGTTATGGATATGCTAATGACTTTTATTTAATCATTTCACAATGTATATAGACATATCAAAACAACATTGTATGCCATAAATATATGTGATTTTTATTTATTACAGCTTAATAAATCTGTCTTGTCTCACCCTCCAAATCTACCAGAGCCCATCTGGAGGAGACTTCCTGTTTCTTTCTCCAGCAACTGAAAAAAACACATCACTGTCTCACTTAGCTCATCTTGTCACTGTACAAGGGACTAGTTGTGCAAACATGATAACTGAAAAGAATGCAATTTTAGTGACATTCTATAAAATGTCCTTAATGTTTTCCCTCTTGTTCATTAGTAAGACACTTAAATTGTTCTAAAGACTCAGACTTTTAAAGCCATCTTTTACATATGCTTTCCAGAAGAAAAATAAAATAAAATTGAAGTTGAGTTTTAAATGTTAAGCTTTTAATAAATTTAATCATTGTGACGTTATATTTTCTTATAGTGTCAGAAATCTGAAGCTATCATGGAACAATTGAAGTCTTTTCAAATAATTGATCATCTGCAGCGTCTACATGAAGAAATTTATGAGGTAAAAACTTGGTCCAACAAGATAATTGAAAAACAGGATATACTGAACAACAATTTGACAGCTCTTTCTCAAGACATTACAAAAGTAAACCAAAGCACAACTTCCCTGGCAAAAGATGTTGTTCTCAAGATTACAACTGTAAAAACAGACATACGACGTATTTCAGGTTTAGTAACTGATGTAGCATCACTCTCAAATTCTGTGCAAGAATTAGAAAACAAAATAGGAAAGGTAGAAAAACATACAGTAAAAAACATAGGTGATCTTCTTTCAAGCAGCATTGACCGAACAACAATGCTTCGAAAGATAGCATCTGAAAATTCACAAAGAATTAACTCTGTGAAGAAGACACTCTCTGAGCTGAAGAGTGATCTCAACAAGCACACTGATTGGTTTCTAAGCTTAGAAAGGGACAGAGCCAGAGTTCTGAAGACAGTGACGTTTGCAAATGATCTGAAACCAAAGGTGTATAATCTAAAGAAGGACTTCTCCCGCTTAGAACCATTGGTAAATGACTTAACACTACGCATTGGGAGACTGGTTACTGATTTACAACAAAGAGAAAAAGAAATTGCGTACTTAAAAGAGAAAATATCTAACTTAACAATAGTCCAAGCTGAGATTAAGGATATTAAAGATGAAATAACACACATTTCAGATATGGGTTAGTTTGACATTATTGATATTTGACTGAAGTAACTTTTTTTTAAAAATGGGACCTCTTATGGAAAGACTGGTAAATTAGAAATAATGATATTTTGGAGTAATTACCATTTTGTATTTGATTCTATTTTGTACAGTAAAAATGAAATTTGTAAACAGGTTGAACACTTGATTTTTTAAAAATAAATGTGCTAAAACCTATACTTGCAACTTTGTATAACAAAAACCTTATCCATGCCCCGACATTTCTCTCTCTCTCTCTCTCTCTCTCTCTCTCTCTGCAAGTAGGGAGAGTAAAACCTGCCGCTCCAGCATAGGAGATCTCGGCAGTATCAGATGGACGTGCCCTCATTAGCTGCCAGGCACAGCCCGGTGTGGGCAGTACCCTAGCTGAAGAACTGCCCTGTACCAGACAGGGCCATAGCATTCAGGATCCAACCGGAGAAAGAAAAACCAGAAAGGTCACAGATGTGAGCTGCAGGAAAAAAACCAGTAAGTCTTTCTGAGTCTTTCAGGGTTTTAGGAAGCAGGAAAGGGAGAGTAGGGTCTTAATCTGTTTAGGCTGCTGTATAACAAAATGCCAAAATCTTTGGGTGCCTATCAACAACAAAAGTGTATTTCTAGAGACTGGTGAGTCCAAGACCAAGGCGCTTCCTGGTTCACAGAGGGCACCTTCTAGCTGGGTCCTCACACGGTAGAAAGGTCAAAGCCGAATCTCTCAGGGCACCAATCCTGTCCACAAGGCTTCCTCCCTCAGGACACAGTCATCCCACAAATGCTTCATCTAATGTTTCAGCATGAGTTTTGGGGAGAAACAGGCACCCAAGCCATGGCAAGTAGGCTGCCTAGAATCGGGCAAGGAAGGGGCACCAAGTGCAGGATTTGGAGGGAGGGTGTGGACTGCAGGGGCTCACCAAGCCTCGGACATGGACAGCGCAACGCACGAGTGATGACGGTCAGCCAGAAGCAGCCAGAACTACTAAAGAAGGAGTTTCTAACATTTACCCCAGCAATTCCAACGACGTAAAATTCTAGAAAATACAAACTATAGTGATGGAAAGTAAATCAGCGTTTGCCTGGTGTATTAGGGTTCTCCAGAGAAACAAAGTCAGTAGGAGATATATGTGTAGATACACAGATGTATTGGAGAGATTGTTTGATTATGGCAGCCAAGGAGACCCATATCTTGCCTCGGTGAGCCGAAGAGCCAGGAAAGCCAATGCTGTGACTCAGCCAGAGTCCAAAGGCCCCAGGACCAGGAGCACCGAGGTCTGAGGGCAGGAAGACGGATGGCCCAGCTCAGATGGAAGCAAATCTGCCCTTCTGCTTTCTTGTTCTATTTGGACCCTCGGACGGGAGGATGTCCACCCATGTTGGTGAGGGTGGGTCTTCTTTACTCCATCTGCAGATGTTTTTTGTTTTTTTTTTTTGAGTTGGAGTCTCTGTCACCCAGACTGGAGTGCAGTGGCCGCTCCCGGCCACCGCAGCCTCGACCTGCTGGGCTCCAGCGATCCTTCCGCCTCAGCCTTCCAAGTAGCTGGAACTACAGGGGTGTACTACCACGTCCGGCTCATTTTTTATTTTATTGTAGAGATGAGGTCTTGCCAAGTTGCCCAGGCGGGTCTCGAACCTGCGGGCTCAGGCAATCCATTCACCTCAGCCTCCCAAAGGCACGGAATGACAGGCTGAGCCACCGAGCCCAGCTTCCATCTACAGATTTGAATGCTAATCTCTTCCAGAAACACCCTCACAGACACACCCAGAGATAATGTTTACCAGCTATCTGGGTATCCCTTAGCCCAGTCAAGTTGACACTTAAAATTAACCATCTCATCCTGGGACAGAGATAGAGGGAGATATAGATCACCAAGAGGCACAAGGACATTTTGAGGAGTGAAGAATATTTACTGCTGTCTTCATTGTGGTGATGGTATTACAGGTACTCATGTGTCAAAACTCATCAGATGACATATTTTAAATATGTGCAGATGGCTGGGCGTGGTGGCTCCCACCTGTAATCTCAGCACTTTGGGAGGCTGAGGCAAGAGGATTGCTTGAGCCCAGGGGTTCGAGACCAGCCTGGGCAACATGGTGAGACCTCATTTCTACAAAAATAATAAATAAATAAAACATGTAAATAAAATATGTACAGTTTATTGGGCAATGCATTTTATTCATCATTGCCTTTGTAAGTGCAACGTAATAACTTACGATGAAACCCCACACAGCAGCAGCTCCAGTTTCAAATAGCTAGCACGAGGGATGTCCAAATGCAGAGCTGGTTACCTCAAAAAGAAAAGTTTACGAATTCTTACACCATAGTGGCTCATCCTCTTGCCCTTGGGGTTTTTGCCAGGGAAGAGTTAGCTATATTCACCAGGAAATATTTCATATGTCCTATTCTTGAAAAATTGAGTCATCATGACTAGAACCTTGTGTACGTGTTCACCCGAGAAACAGAGCAAACAGGATGTGTACATGGAGAGAGAGAGAGTTTAAGGAATAGGCTCACATCAGTCATGGAGGATGGCATCTCCCAAGTCTGCAGGACGGGCCAATAGGCTGGAGACTCAGGGAAGAGCTGATATGGAAGTTCATGTCCAAAGGTCGTCTGCTAGCTGAAGTACTTTTCGGCTCAGGTTGTGTCTGGGGATCCCCTCTGTTTTATTCAGGCCTTCAACTGACTGGATGTGGATGGCCACTAGCATTGTGGAGAGAAATCTGCTTACTCAGAGGCCACTGGTTTAAATGTGAATCTCATCTGGAAAAGAAAAAACTTTGATCCAGAATAATGTTAGACCTCGGCACTATGCCCAGCCAAGTTGACACATAAAATTGACTACCACATCTTGTCCCTGTCTCTCCCTGTTTTTTCCTTTTTTTTTTAGTTGGAGTCTACTTTGTCGCCCAGGCTGGAGTGTAATAGCATGCTCACAGCCACCACAGCCTCGACCTGCTGCGTTTAGGCAGTCCTTCCGCCTCAGCCTTCCAAATAGCTGGAACTACAGGTGCGTGCCACCTCGCCTGGCTCATTTTTGATTTATTGTAGAGATGAAGTCTCACCATGTTGCCCAGGCTGCTCTCGAACCCACGAGCTCAGGCAATCCTCTCACCTCAGCCTCCCAAAGTGCTAGGATTATGGGGTTGAGCCACTGCGCCCGGCCTGTCTCTCCCAATGTAGCATATTGGTAAAATGGTTATCCGATCTCTCACCTGTCTCTGTTCCACCTAGTATTCAGACACTCAGGTTCTAAGAAAACCTAGACAAGTTGAACAATATTCCTGTTGCTCTCTCTTCCAGTCAAGTTTAGCTACTTTTGTCCACACGTGGGTCCAAGGCTCTGACTCTGCCTGTAGATGGCTAGCAGGGTTTTATCCTCAGTTATTTCATTCATTTGTTCAAAAACATCTATGGACACTTCATAAATGCAGAACCACCAGGGTGGTGCTTCAGTGAACCCACAGCTGGGTAACAATTAGCTACTATCAAGTGTCAAGATCTCACAGAACTTACAGTCAGCTCTAAGGGGGTTTAGGACTCTTGTAAGAAACAGTACTCTCCAACTAGCTCATGAAAAGAAAAAAAGTTTCTTATAAGTATCTCGTGAGTATCCCAAGAAGAGAACAGCGGTATAAACCAGTGCTCATGGGATCTGGAGCTGGGAAGCCAGTGTCAACAGAGGCAGAGCTTTTGCCCCTGGCCACGTGGTCTTGCATGGTTTCTGTTTCTCTCTGTGGCGCTAGCTCTCTGCCAGTTTCCGCCCTCTCTTCGTGTGCAATTTCTGTTTCCTTATGAAATTGGCTTATCCAAGGCAGTCTTGGTCATGCCCCAGCCTCTCTCTGGCCTCTTTCTGCATTATGGCTCTGCATTTTCAATGTTACACTGCTTGGTCTTTTGTTTCCCGACTTCATTTCCCAAGGCAGAGAAATGTACCTAGCCAAGCCCAGCTTCTCAAGCTGAGCTGTGAGTCGTGGGCAGACGAGGGTAGACCCCGGACTGTCCTTGCATCAGGTGGCCTCTTGGCCCAACCCTGGAACAATTAGCTGAGGGCAGCAGGGTGGTTGTGGGGCAGAACGAGGGAAGAAATGAGCACAAAATATGGCCATTTTGACCATATGGAATCCAGGAAGTTGAATTCCCTTAGAAGGAAGCATGGGCGACATTTTCCAGGCAGTGACGCTGATCTCTGCTTTTGCCCCTGGACCATGGGAGCTTGTGTGATCTGTGGCTGCCTGGATTCTAGATCTGACACAAATCATCTCATCTTAGGCATTCAATTTTCGTATCTATAAAGTGATAAGAAGACCAACCTTGGGGAGTAGTTATGAGGATCGGAGGAGATGATATATGTGAAACACGCACAACACACACAACACCTGGCTCATAGCAGTGCAGAGTGAATAACAGCCTTGCGGCTCAGGCTCTAAGGCTTCCCAAGCAGAGACTTTCTCATGTAGTTTCTAAACTCTCTAAGGGAATCAAAGAGCAGTTTGAGGGATCGGGGCGTCAGACAAAGCCATGTTCAACCCCATTCCTGTTGCTTCCTGGCCGTGTGACACGAGCAAGTGACTTGATGGGTCTCTGCCTGTCTCTTCATCTGTCAAATGAGGATAAGATGTACTTTGCAGACTTGTGGGGGTAGCTCTGCAATGACCCTCATGGCACAATGCCTCAACATTAGCAGGTACTCAAAAAATAATAGACATTTCCACTATAAGCTATTACTTTGAGTTTTAGTTCTGATTACAAACTACCATTGCTCTGTTCTGAAGATGTGGAAGACACAGATACTTAGAAGTATAAATCACTCCTAACCAGCCAACCAGCCACACAAATGTAACTTTTTAAAAAATCAGAGGCCCAACGTTTACAGAAAAAATAATAATTTTCACCAAAGAAGAAATGGAAGCATTTCCCAGCCAGGAGCCAGCCGACTTCTTCATCGCAGTTCTTAACATTATTTATGGAAAATTAACATTAAAACGTGCTCAAAATAGAAATTTGAAAGGATGCGATCAAAACGATTATTCACTAGGTGTTCTAGTCTTTTCTTCTTCCTACGCTCCACTTTGGAGACGTGCCACAGTCAACCTCAGCTCTACAAAAACTTACACCGTTCGGGACGATTTCTTGTCGTGCAAAACTTCAAAGGAAGCGCATCACTGTAGGATATCCCGATGTGGTAGAACAAAGCATATGAGGGCTGACAAATTCACAAACTCATTCTAGAAAAAGTGCTGCATGACTCATTGCTGGTATCACTATGGTCACCTTCAAAGTCCTCCCCTTGGGAAGCTATGCACCGACACCAGACCCTAGTCCACCTGTCAAAGCAGTTTTGGAAGTCTTCTTCGGGAGTGGCCATCAGAGCTGACGTGGCAAGAATGTTGGCGTTGAATTAGAGCAACAAACATTAAATTTCTTGGTAAACTTGGCGAGAGCAAAAGTGAAGTCAGGGACATGTTAGTCCAAGTTTAGGCGGGTAATGCCATGAGGAAAACGACAGTGTGCAAATGGATGAAACGTGTTTCTGAAGGGACAGAGTCACTGATGAAGAGGTCAGGATGGCCAGTAATGAGCAGAACTGACGAAAACATTGCAAAAATTTGTTGCACTGTGTCAAAATCGTTGGCTGACCGTGAAAAGCGTAACAGACCAAATCAACATCGACAAAGAAACAGGAAGATCTTAACTGAAAATCTTGGTGGCTGGAGTTGGTCGCTCAGCCTGTCATCCCACCACTTTGGGAGGCAGAGGCGAGTGGATTGCCTGAGCCCCCGGGGTTCGAGACCCGCCCGAGCAACTTGACGAGATCTCATCTCAACAGTAAATCAAAAATTAGCCAGGCGTGGTAGCGCGCGCCTGTAGTTCCAGCTACTTGGAAGGCAGAGGCGGAAGGATCGTCGGAGCCCAGCAGGTCGAGGCTGCGGTGGCCAGGAGCGTGCCACGGCACTACAGTCTGGGCGACAGAGTGAGACTCCAACTCAAAAAAATTTTCTTAAAGGTATGTATAGCTCACATGTATTTCAGTTTAATATTGGAAGTATTCAGGTTTTTATTTTTAAGTCTGGCATTTTTGTAGCCGGAAATATGCCATAGGAACGCTTGTTGATATAATTAGCCTGTGGCAAGACTAGTTTCTTTATACATCATTTCCCCTAAAGTCAGTTTCCCAGAACTTGTCCATTGATGTTAAGTGAGGACTTGCTGTGACAGTTGATCCACGAGGAAAAGTGGGGTCTGCCATTACTATCAGATGTTCACGATGACTTGAGATTCAGCAGTTGTAACCTTGGCCAATCTGGCCCCCTAGTGTTGAGATCAGGGGTCTCAGAATAATTACATGGGCTCTCGCATGAACTATCCTCCATCTTCAAATCTTGCAGCACCTATTCCAGGGAAAGTCAGCTAATTTGTGCAAGCCCTTATTCATAGTATTAGGCAAAAAGTATAACTTGGATAAAAGACACATCCCCAAGGCTTTCATTCTCAGTGTAGCAAGACTGTAATGACTACTGCATAAATGACAGTTGCGTATGTATATATGCACTTCTGTGTATAAAAACACATGTGAGCCAGGCTCGGTGGCTCAGCCTGTAATCCCGTGCCTTGAGAGGCTGAGGTGAGTGAATTGCCTGAGCCCGCGGGTTCGAGACCCACCTGGGCAACTTGGTGAGCCCTCATCTCTACAATAAATCAAAAATTAGCTGGGCATGGTAGCGCGCGCCTGTAGTTCCAGCTACTTGGAAGGCTGAGGTGGAAGGACCGCCAGAGCCCAGCAGGTCAAGGCTGCGGTGGCCAGGAGCGGCCACTGCACTCCAGTAAGGGCGACAGAGTGAGACCTCCAACTCAAAACAAAACAAAAAAATAAATAAATACATAAAAATAAAAATAATAACACATGTGAAGCTGCTTTTTAGGAATACCCAGGGGATTCATAAACCCTATCAATGGTGAGGTTAGCCTCTCATATGCAGCTACAAATACTGCCGAGAATGTGAAGCCAGGGCTGGTTTGTAAAAGACAAATGATTCAACAGATATCTGAGGTTAAGAGCTAAAGAGTAGCTGGCTTATTAACGTACCACATCATCCTTTGATATTTCAGGGAAGGTACAGCATTAAACTGTGGACTACAGACTCCTCTAAGTTTAAATTCAGTTTGTTTCTTAACCATGTGGTATCCAGGATTTTTAACATAATTGAGATTTTATTTCAATAATACAAACCAAATTGTTTAACAATTATGTAATTTCTTGTGCTATCGAAGCAAGACTGCCATGCATCAAACGTCATTAACACTGTAGGCATTTCTATCCCAAAACTGGATCACAGAAACGTTAGGCTCACTTTAAAACATGGTCATGACATTTTGCACAGTGAAATTTTCGCACAACGGAGACATAGCTATTATTTTTTTTTTCTGTTCAACTTTGTTGCAACTATCACCAGGCACCAATAATTTAGTAAAATTAGGATTCCTTGGAGTCTCAACCAATCACAGAATGTGATCCTAATGGAAATTACGATGCAATGCCATCCTGTCCTTGAGTCACAATATAATTCAATTAAACTGCCAGACACAGTGACTGGCACCTATGATCCCAGCACCTTGGGAGGCCAAGGCGAGAGGACTGCCTGAGCCCAGGGGTTTGAGACCAGCCTAGGCAACATGGCGAGACCTCGTCTCTACAATACATCAAAAAATTAGCCAGGCATGGTGACATGCACCTGTAGTCTCAGCTACTTGGAAGGCTGAGGCAGGATTGCCTGACCCCAGGAGGTCAAGGCTGCAGTGGCCAAGTGTACCACTGCCCTCCAGCCTGAAGAGTGAGACTCTGACTCAAAAAAAAAAAAAGAAAAAATTCGATTAAACTATTGATGTCATATGCTTACACCACTGGCTTTTGCTTTATGGGTTTGCAATAGACGTTTCATTAAACAAAATGTAAAACTAACTCCAATATGCATATCATTAAAGTTTCCTTATTAGAATCTTTATTTTCAGTATAATTTAAAAACCTGAAGTCAACAAGAATTCACTAAGTCAGCATCTTGGATTTTGAGGACAAAATGGCTTCACGTCACCAGGCGCAGTGGCTCACGCCTATAATCCCAGCACTTTGGAAGGCAGAGGCGAGAGGACTGCCTGAGCCCAGGAGTTCAAGACCAGGCTGGGCAACTTGGCAACAAGTTGTCCTACGATAAATCCAAAAATTAGTCAGGCATGGTGGTGTGCACTGTAGTTTCAGCTACTGGGAAGGCTGAGGCGGAAGAATTGCTGGAGCCCAGCAGGTCAAGGGTTCGGTGGCTGTGAACATGCCACTGTCCTCCAGCCTGAGCCAGAGAGACTAACTCAAAAAAAAAAGTTTCAACTCTAGCTTTGATTGCTAATTACAATTCTCTACAGCTAGAACACAGCATCCTTTATACCAACATGAACAGACAAATCCTATTTTCTCTCCTGAAAATAAAATTTGAATCCTACAAGGGTGGCTGTGACTGCCTCAGGGAGGGCTGGCTGAACTGCACACCCTGAGCAGCTTTTAGCTCCAGCCTGTCTTCCACTTGCTCTTCTTGTATGCTGTGACTGACAACGCGCCCAACAAGTGGCGTCTGCACTCCTTTTCCCTGAATCTGGGATTTGCCCGTTGTCACCAAGCATAGTGGAAGTCATGTCATATGTCACTGAAGGCCAAGCCCTAACAAAGAGCCAGCTTCTGCCCAGCTGCACTGGAGCCCTGAATTACCTTACTTACTAAGTAAGTCCAGCTGCCCTGAAGCCATCCTGCTATAGCCACGGTATAAAGACTGATGAGCCACTAACAGGAAGATATCCGAAGAACATCTCTCCAGCCCCCCAAGCCAACTTTCATGAGCTCTTCATGAGATCTAGAGCCAGAAGTCCGGCAGATACTGCTGAATTTTTCACCCTCAGAAAACCTGCGATTATCTCAGGCAACATAGCAAGACCTGGTCTCTACAAAAATAAAATTAGCTGGGTGTGGTGACACATGCCTGTAGTCCCAGCTACTAAGGAGGCTGCCACAGTAGGATCACCTGAGACCAAGAGGCAAGGATGTGGTGAGCCGTGATAACACCACTGCACTTTAGCCTGCGCAAGACTGAGACCCCAGCTCAAAAAAGTTTGGGTTTAAACCTACAGTCAAATCTCAGATGTCTGAGTATGTTCGAACAATTTTTTTTCCCAATGGCATTCACCTCGTTCAGTTGTCCAGCAGTACCTTCCTTAAATACCAAACTGGAAATACAGTAAATTTTCTGTAATTCGGAAAGATCTGGGGGGCAGGGAGGTGGGATTAATGGTAGTCAGTATCTGTCTGGGGACGGGGAGCACCCCTCATCAACAAGGGCACCTGCACGATGCGTATTTCTATGCCTAACCTGTAACAGCACCCCACAATTGTAAAATAAAAAATATGTATTAAAATAAAAAATAAAAAAATTTAAAAGAAAGATTTGTGTGAAGAGAATATAGTACCTGAAATTGTTTTTTAGCTGTCAATTGTTTTGGTCCTTTACTGTCATTCTAACAATTTAACTTGGGCTTATAAATAAGGATTGGCAAACTCGACATTTTTAAATAGTACCCGTTGCAAAAATAGGAGCATACATTGAAATTTACTCGCCAAAATATAACCACAAATGACCATCCATATTTAGCTACAACTAAATCATTTTTTAAAATTTAGGGTGTGCTTCCTAAAAATTAGGCAACTCTCTTGTGTGATAAAACTTGAGACACATGACAATTTATGCATAGGGATTAAAATACTCGACTAATAATGGCCAGGCCAGGCACGGTGACTCACACCTGTAATCCTAGTACTTAAGGAGGCCAAGACTGAAGGACTGCTTAAGCCCAGGATTTTGAAACCAGCCTGGACAACATAGTGAGACTTTGTACAAAAATTTTAAAAATTAGCCAAGTGTGGTGGTGCACACCTATAGCCCCAGCTGAGGCAAGAGGACTGCGTGAGCCCAGGAGGTCAAAGCTACTGTGATGCTGTGATCCTGCCACTGTACTCCAGCCTGGGTGATGGTGAGACCCAAACTCAAACAACAACAACAAAGATTAACAGGCAAATCATGAACAGTTGGGTTTATTTCAACAGTAAATTTTAAACTCTTGCCTTAAGCAAGAATACTACAGTAATTATAGCAGGAATAGATAATTTCCTACGCTGTCAAATATATAAAAGTTCCTTTTACACTTTCTTCAACACTGATCAACAAGCAGATTCAGTCCACAATTGTTTGGATCTATCTACTGAGTTAAACCCAGCTTCTTCTTTAGAGACTCCGGCATCTCTGGTGGAGGAGGGCGAGGGAGCCTGAAGTAGACCTTCACGGAATCATAGATGAACCACTGCAGTGCGGTCAGAGTGCCGATCATGATGATGCGGGCAAACAGTCCCTTCCACACACCTGGTTCAAACAGGAAACATGCATGAAAGCCCAAGATGTACCCCAAAGTGCTGTTCTTTCTTTAGGGAAAAAAAGCAAAACCAAAAAACCGCCATCTTACCTTTAAATCCAAGTCTCTGGAGGACCTGAGAAGCACTGCTTCCTTTCTCTTTATTCAACACAGATACCACAGAATCGGCAGGGTGAGAAACAATTGCACAGAAGACTCCAGCTGAAAATCAAGATAAATGACTATAGAGTCGGTTAAAAAACCAACAGTCTTCTCTCATGACTTTCAATAATACAATTTTCATTCTTTAAAAAAAAAATCAGATTTAGGGTAAGACTGGTACGGTTATAAAGCATAAAATTTTTAAAAAGGAACAATCCTTTAAGTTTTTATATTCAGATTTTAGTCAAAATTCTCCTATATATAAAACATTTGTTGATAAATCGTGCAGCATTGAGGCCAATACATTCCCAAGCATAATAATGACACAGCTTAAAACAATCATGCAAACCATGAAACAATCCTTACAGGAACTAATTAGCAAGTACTTACAAATTATGGGAAGACACAACTGCTTTGTAACCTTGGCAGTATTTTTCCCTTACTAAAAGGGCCAATAATGGAAATGATTACTTGTCTATAATCTCAAACACGTGTATTCTAAATAATTCATACCTATGTAACCCGCCACAAATGTTACAACCAGCTGCTCTGCCTTTGTACATTCACTGCGGGGCTTAGGAACCACAAACTTGTACAACGCTTCAACAGTACGTTCAAAGCAGGCAAACTTCATCATGGTGTACGGTATCTGTCTCATCCAGAGCGGAGCAACTCCCTTGTAGAATCTAGAAAACCAGGAGACTGATTTTACACCACTGCATATATGCATCTAGCAGAGATTTTCATCATTAACAGGAATGTCCGCACACCAGTCATGTCCTGACAGTAAAAAATGGCAGCGCAACTGCATGTCATTTCTATCAGAACCTCAGACCGATATGCAGGTATATTTCTCTCACATGCCAATGACTCAAGTACCTTTGACTATACAACCAAAAAAGTTGCTGGATGTTTCTTTGACTGGAACTACAAGAAACAAGAAGTTTACAAGCAGAACTCAGCTCAAGATTCATCCACAAAGGTGGATCTAAGGAAGCATGTTGTGGCCTGGCTACATGAAAATTTTAACAGTAAATAGATCAAGAACTCTAACAAGCCTGCCCCAAAAGTTTACGGTGAAATGTCTAAGCCAAATATCAAGACCATTTATAGACTGGCAAATGGTCCTCACTTTATTTAAAAAGCTTAATTCAGGGCTCAAACCACGTATTAACTTATCCCTATCCCTAGAATTCACGTTCCATATACAGGTAAATAGACATTCAATAACTTCAGAAAAGTCTGGTGGGCTTAATGCTAAGAAATAAAAGTTCCCTTAAAATGAGTATTTTTATAGTACACATTTAGGCAAGTGTTTACTTACGCATTTAGGCCTTCTTCCTTATACATTTTGGGAGCTGCATCCCTCAAAGTGTTGGCATAACCTGGCTGGGTTTGAATTCGAACCTTAGCAGCTTCCATAGGAGCCAGGGCAATGTCAGCAAAGAATTCAGCACTGGCAGAGGCAGCCAAATACAGGGACGTGCGCCAGAGGTAAGCTTTCTCCTAAAATGCAAAACAGGAGGAACGTAAACTGGCCTGGCCGTTTGCAATTTGGAAGAAGTGTGAATTGACTGTTTGCAATTTAACTTTAAATAACAGTTTCTAGGAAACAACTCAGCTAGACATTTTAAAAGTACTCCTTCTTATCACACAACTCATGGGTAATGCACAATGAGACAACATATGCTGTCTCTCATAACCTCACTGACCAAACAAAACTGTAGTACAATGTGAACATTTTTTAGCACTTAGGTGCTAAGTGTAGTTAGCCCTGGAACTACAGAAGAGCCCCAGAGCCCTTCTCTTTAAAAAACTCAATACCCAATTGACTTAAAAAACATAATACACCAAAAGGGGTACAGTAACTTAACAAAATACATTTTGTTTCTCATCCTGCTCTGTTAAAACAGCCTTATGCGCAAATCTGAGGCCTGTTGCTCACTTTCTGGGACTATTTCTTCAGTTCTAAAGCAAGGCACATCAGGCAAAAGTCTAAGATCCTTTCTGGCTTTAAACCAACCTAAACAGCCAAAAGCCTCGATTTCCAATTACATACCTCTCCAAGCATGTTGCTATACACGGCCTTAAAGACTTCATAAAAGCCAAACTTGCAGAGTCCCTGCATGGAGTAGCCAATGAAAGTGGGGGCCCATCCTTTAGCCAAACCACGAACACCATCCTCTTTAAGTGTAACTGAGAATCCATTAAATATGCCCTTGTATTTCTGCGGGTCCACCTTTATTTGAAACAAGAGAAAAAATGGAATGCACCAAAGAGTTAACACACAAGTTAATGTAGATATCTAATTTCATTATTTTTAGCTTTTCATTTCGATTCTACTGCAAATGTCAGTAACTACACAAAAGGCCAGGCAGTGGCGCAGTGGCTCATGCCTGTAACCCTAGCACTTCGGGAGACGGAGGCAGGGCAATGGTTGAGGCCATGAGTTTGAGGCTAGTGGGGCACCACAGCAAGACCGTGTCTCTCTAAAAACAAAATTTTTGTAAATTGCAGTTATTGTTCATCTCCTACAGTGCCTAATTTATGAACGAAACTTTATCAAAGGTAGGAACATATAGAAAAAATAAAGTATACATAGGGCTTGGTACTATCGGAGGTTCCAGGCATCCACTGGGGGTCTTGGAACATACCCCGCAAAGACAAGGGGGGGTTACTATACAAGTTCACTGTATTATCAGCTTAACAGCTACGATTGCTTTTACAAATGAAACCTTCAGTACATTAAGGTCTAACTTTGTGTCAGACTTAAGCCTTGGAGGTATCATTAACAGGGTAAATTTCAGCAAAAATACAAAACTGACTCTTAAAGAGATTTCTCACCACCAACTCCTACTACTTTTTAAAAATTAGTTTTAAAGCTACTGTCATAATGTATTACTAGTATTGGCTAGTTTAAGAAGATCACACTACGAAGTTTTGTGAATATTAAACAATCAAACTAAACTAAAGCTAAAAAGGTACATCAGCACAATGAGAACCTGTCACTTCAAGAGACACTCAAGACGTTTTAGCAAAGGTATATTTCATATTCATTCTATTAACTAATGGGGGGAAAATGCTTATGTCACTATTGCTGCCAGTACTAGAAGGGGTGGTATACACATCACCTTCCTCTCCCTCCTAATAGTCCACCTTCCTTTCTCTTTTAGCTAAGTAGACTTCTAATCCTGTTTAGAACAAATAAATTATTGACATCTTATTACTTCTGTTTCTATAACGCTAATTCAAAGATATTCAAATTATTCTAAAATTTTATGTAAATATACAAAAGGCTATGCCCACACAAATTTTTCTAAGATATTAAGAACATTTAAAATAAATCTACATGTGCTGGGTGTGGTGGCTCACGCTTGCAATCCCAGCACTTAGGGAGGCTGAGGCGAGAGGACTGCCTGAGCCCAGGGGTATGAGACCAGCCTGGACAATTTGAGACTTCATCTCTGATACATCAAAGTAGGTGGTCTCTACAATAAATCAAAGTAGTTCCAGCTACCTGGAAGGCTGAGGTGGATCACCTGAGCTTAGAAGGTTGAGGCTGCAGTGGCGTGCCACTGCATTCCAGAGTGAGACTCCGACTCAAAAAAAAAAAAAATCTACACATGCTGTTTGCCCTGGTCTTATTTATAGATAAGGTACATGAAGTTACTTCATTTGGACTGACTATCTAGTCTGACACGTAACTGCTTGTAAAATGACTATCCGGGGGCCTAGCAAACCTTTCAGGGGAAGGAACTATGACCGAAGGTGAGCACCAGCAGCAAAGAGCCACTTACAGCCAGAGTGTGAGAGAGGCACTTCTTGCATTTAAAACACTAAAATAAAGACTACAAACTAAATAACTTGAGTTTGGTCTCCTAACGAAGTTTCTAGCAGTTCTGGCACCTTCAAGCGATCATTTGCGAAGTGCTTTAAGATGACTCAGAATGAGGTCACATACGAAAGACACTTTCAGCGCTGTCATCTCAATACAAACCTGCATGCGGCATTTCACTAAGTCCAAGGGCACGACAGCAGTGTGTGTCAGGCCACAACTTAAGACCCCACCAAAGCCACACAGTGCATAATACTTCATGGAGCCAAATTCACAACTGTACTCTGCAATAAGACAAGACACACCATGCGTTTTAATACAAAACTCATGCTGCTGGTCCATCGACTTACCTCCTGGAGAGTTAGGCTTCCACACAGCTTGTTAGTAGGTGACTACACCTCACAACGCAAGTCATGCGTCAACACCCTCTAAGCCGGCATGCAAAACAAACCTGCATTCTGCATTTAACCAGATCTAGAGGAACCAATGCTGTATGTGTTGTGCCACAGCTAATAATTCCTCCAATTCCACAAAGGATAAAGAATCTGCCAGATCCATAGTCACAGCTATACTCCTCTGTTCGATCAAAAAAAAAAAATCAAGTCAGTATTTCTTCAGAGACGCCTAAGGCCACTGGAATGAAAGAATGCGGTCGCCCAGACAGCTCTGGCCACAATTAAGTGGCTAAAAAGAAACCCACTGCGAAGATCTGATCATTTAAAAACGATGACGGTTCTAGATCTGTGCGATACTCTCTCTTACTCTGCCGTACGGATTTTTTTTAAAAGCTTCCTACAGGAATGGCCTTGCAACGAAAAGCAGACCTCCGCTTCCACCTTTGATACCCACAAAGCTGAGACACGGACTGAGGGGTGCAAGGGCTTTTTATCCGCACTAAAGAGGCCACAACGGGAGCACAGGAATAATCTCAAAAATCTTTCCACTCTGCAGGCACAACGCAGGCAACACGCTCAGGGCTCCCAGACTCGGGTCTCGGGCTTCTCTGTGCACGCACTCCACTAGGATTTAAAGCACACACAGTTAAGGGGCGCCGGGCCCGGCC